TTCTGGGAGCTGCTACAGGGTACTTACAATCTATGGGTTGTTGGTGAATCTCCTTGTATCTGATATATATAACTTCTGGGAGCTGCTACAGGGTACTTACAATCTATGGGTTGTTGGTGAATCTCCTTGTATCTGATATATATAACTTCTGGGAGCTGCTACAGGGTACTTACAATCTATGGGTTGTTGGTGAATCTCCTTGTATCTGATATATATAACTTCTGGGAGCTGCTACAGGGTACTTACAATCAAGGGGTTGTTGGCAAATTTCCTTGTATCTGATATATATAACTTCTGGGAGCTGCTACAGGGTACTACAAATCTATGGGTTGTTGGAGAATCTCCTTGTATCTGATATATATAACTTCTGGGAGCAGCTACAGAGTACTTACAATCAAGGGGTTGATGGCGAATCCTCTTGTATCTGATATATATAACTTCTGGGAGCTGCTACAGGGTACTACAAATCTATGGGTTGTTGGAGAATCTCCTTGTATCTGATATATATAACTTCTGGGAGCAGCTACAGAGTACTTACAATCAAGGGGTTGATGGCGAATCTCCTTGTATCTGATATATATAACTTCTGGGAGCAGCTACAGGGTACTTACAATCAAGGGGTTGTTGGCGAATCTCCTTGTATCTGATATATATAACTTCTGGGAGCAGCTACAGGGTACTACAAATCTATGGGTTGTTGGCGAATCTCCTTGTATCTGATATATATAACTTCTGGGAGCAGCTACAGGGTACTTACAATCAAGGGGTTGTTGGCGAATCTCCTTGTATCTGATATATATAACTTCTGGGAGCTGCTACAGGGTACTACAAATCTATGGGTTGTTGGAGAATCTCCTTGTATCTGATATATATAACTTCTGGGAGCTGCTACAGGGTACTACAAATCTATGGGTTGTTGGAGAATCTCCTTGTATCTGATATATATAACTTCTGGGAGCTGCTACAGGGGCCTATAAATCTAGGGTTTGTTGGCAAATCTCCTTGTATCTGATATATATAACTTCTGGGAGCTGCTACAGGGTACTACAAATCTATGGGTTGTTGGCGAATTTCCTTGTATGTGCTATATATAACTTCTGGAAGCTGCTACAGGGTACTTACAATCAAGGGGTTGTTGGCGAATCTCCTTGTATCTGATATATATAACTTCTGGGAGCTGCTACAGGGTACTACAAATCTATGGGCTGTTGGTGAATCTCCTTGTATCTGATATATATAACTTCTGGGAGCTGCTACAGGGTACTACAAATCTATGGGCTGTTGGTGAATCTCCTTGTATTTGCTATATATAACTTCTGGAAAATGCTACAGGGTACTACAAATCTATGGGCTGTTGGCGAATCTCTTTGTATTTGCTATATATAAGGGGAATTAACTCTTACCTCTCATCTTACACATCATAGCAATTGCAAGTTACTAGAAGACCAGCATTGTGTGGTGATCATTCTCCACTGCTGGTCATGTTTCAGGTTGGACAGCAGAGGGGTAAATATTAGCATCACTTTGGTTATGGCTACAATTGATGTTCGGGAATCATGGTGTAATGTCAGTATATTTTGTACTGACATCGGTACACCTGATTTGTGTTGACTTGTGAACGTGGGAAATTTTGGAATATCCCATTTAAAAAACTATCCGAAAATACTATCACTGCCAGATTTGCTTGTTTCTACTCGTAAATACTGTGCATATACTCATCATAGCGCCTAGAGCAGGCACTTAGTGCCTGGAGTATTATTTGTGCTTTATAAATTCACTCATTATTATGTATTACAGATTAATGATAGTATGCAGCAGAGAGGGTTCGGGTGATCCTGGTACAGTCAGGCTGGTAAGGCTCATCATCAGCTCCTGGAGAGCCCTTGCCCCTTCTACACGCAGCCCAGACAGTGAATGGGACTTCTCACAGGAAACACTAACTAGTCGAACCCACCAAGAACTTTCCGGAGAATACGTAGACTCCCCAACACTGCAGCCTTCTGCATTACCCAGAGTGTCAGAAGGGCTGTGGAGAACCGGGGCACTCTCCTGATCTGCACCAAGAGATCAGGAGGTACCAAACCAAGGGCACCGAGAACAATGGGGAGCCTGACGACAGTGTGCTTGGGATGCAAGCAAGACATTTTAAAGGCAGTGTCCGCATATTTAGCATGCTTTTCCTGAATCTTGCCAATCACATTGCTGTTACAAGGGACAGAAAATGTAACTAAATTTAAACAAATTCATTTGCTTTATCAAAAAGGACAAGATCAGGTTTGTTGGCAGGAATTCTTATGAGGCTGTATATTCTATTCCACAGAAGTTTGAAAGCAGTATTTTCTATGACGCCCTGGACATGTTCAGTGTCGTACCATGGATGGACCTCAGAGTCACAGGCATGGCCCAGACGGTAGTAAAAGCAACGAGCCATGCCATTTAAGATATGCTGTTTGTGCCAAGGAAAGGCATCCACTGACAAAGTGTTGGACAGTCTCTGTAAATTCATTGCAAAATCGACATTTCGTATTGATATTTTGTTTAAGAATCACATTTTGACGAATGCGAGTGGGAAGTGACTGGTCCTGGGTAGCAAAAAGAAAGCCCTCAGTTTCATATTTAAGACCAGCTGACTTCTTCCACGCAAAGGAGTTGGTGGGATTACAGTTCTGTTCCACACACTGCATATATACACGATGCAGTGGCTTATCAGAAAGCTTGTCCACAAATGACCGACTCTGGGCTGACTTGGTGAAGAACTCGCCTTGTTTACTCCCATCGCTGTACCGTCAACAGTACATCACCATCAAAACAATTTATTCAAATTTCAGATTCTGTCCAACAACCTTGGGACGCTTAAAATAGCTGTGGAATTCCTTGCTTTCATCATGAGTCTTGACATGCATCACCAGAGGATCATCAGATAAATAAATATAATATGTGCAAAAGTACACAATAACTTTCTATCATGAAGAGCCTCCACATTAATGAACCCCCGACCTCTAGAATGGATTGGCATATATAAATGATTAGGAGAGGAATGAGTGTGGTGGGTTGTGTTATCAGATATGATCCTTCTGGTCAGGCGGTCAAGAATCTGATTATCTTGTTTTGTCCAATCAACTACTCCGAAAGAATAGGAAGGGACTGGCACAGCAAAAATATTGGTGGCTATTGCAGAGGTTAAAACATAGTCGGGCCTTTATCTTGAACACGCACGTTTATTGGATTATTGTCCGCAGACTCTTTACAAGACGCCGCAGCGTAGGTAGAATTGAACTTGATACGGTTCAAACTGTATTAATAAAACAAACAATTATTAAAATACAGCTGAACAATTTCCAATGCTAAATCAATATCTTGACTACTCAGATAAATGCAATGTATCTGTAAATATAACAAAAATATGAAACACGAACCCACGTGCCTGACATGACAAAACTGAAATTATTCTAAACTCATATAAATTCATCAAACTTAACACGCTTTGTGACCCTATCAACAATGTTCATCAATATAAATAATAATCATCAACTACTTACAAATTTTCTTGGCCCCTTGCCCCTCTACAAAAATGAATCACCGCAGTGACACCAGCCATGTGCTTTAGTCGACCTCAGTCGCCCGGATCAAACTACCGTGCGGGACCACTTAAAATCCGGATCCTTACCGGCGGCAACAAAAACAAAGCCCAGATCAGTTTACCGGTAAAAAACAAATTAATTTTTATCCTTAACATTCCGGCCCCATAAATGTGAAGCTAATACTATTGAGCCAACATTTATCCCTATCAACAGCCCCAAACAAACAGATAATATAGAACTAAATAAGAATAATATCAAAAGTGAACTGTTCACCGAGTGAGTGAGTGTGGTTTTACGCAGCTTCCAGCAATATTCCAGCAATATCACTGCGGGGGACACCACAAATGAGCTTCACACAACGTGCCTACGAGGGGAATCGAGCCCGGGTCTTCGGCGTGACAAGGGAACGCCCTAACCACTAGGCCACCCCACCGCCCCCTGAATTGTTCACTGAATGTCCTCAGTGTTTTATCACATTTCAGACAAGTCACTCAGACACTGTTTTGATTACACACAGTTTATGCACTGGTCTTACATATGTCGTTCCTCTTGGAGTAAGTTCAACCGTCCTGACAAGACCATCTTTGCCAGGGAATGTTTTGATAACTCTACCCAGCGGCCACATATTACGTGGGGTGTTCTCATTCATCACAAGAACAATATCTCCAACACAAAGGTTGCAGGTCTGTTTGAGCCATTTTTGCCTGAACTGTAATGTTGGTAAGTACTCTCGCAACCAACGCTTCCAGAAAACATTTGCAAGGAACTGAATATGTTTCCATCGTCGGCGATAGACATCATGTATATGGAATTCACCTGGTGGCATTGTATGACACGACCGCAGTAAAAGTAAATGGTTTGGAGACAGTGGTTCTGGGTCGTTTGTATGGTCTGATACAACTGTAATCGGTCTGCTGTTGACTATAGATTCCACCTCGCAGAATAATGTATGCAGACCATCATCGTGCAGACCATGGTCGCCATTCAACAGCCCATTAAGAACTTTCCTCACCGTTCTTATCTGACGTTCCCAAACGCCTCCCATATGCGATGCTGTAGGAGGATTGAACTCCCAATGAATATTCTTCTGTGTGAGGTAGTTCTGTATTTTGCTTTCATTCCATGAATTGATTGCTTCCCTCAATTCCCTGTGTGCTCCCTTGAAGTTCTGACAAATCAGATCTGATTTTCTCAGGTTTTCCTCGTCGACTCTCAAACCGTCGCAATGCATTAATGAAAGAGTTTGTGTCCATTGATTCCAGTTTCTCAATGTGAATAGCTCTGGTGGTTAAGCATGTAAAGAGACACCCATACCGTTTCACTAGAGCCCATCCTCTTTTGACTTCAAATGGCCCGAAGCAGTCCACGCCGACATAGGTGAATGGGGGGTGCCCTGCAGTAACCCTATCAGATGGAAGGTCAGCCATTCTTTGGATATTCTTCAGACCTTGTACACGCTTGCAATGTACAGTTTCTCAGAATCTCATTTATTGTCGCACGAGCACTGATAATCCAGAACCTTTGTCTCATCTGAGATAAGACATGTTCCCTCCCGGAATGGCCAAGAAGCTCATCATAGTGATGTCCAATCAGCCTGGCAACATGATGTGCTTTAGGGAGAATCATCTGATGCTTAGCCTGTTCTGGTATTTCGGCGTACTTGAGACGGCCTCCAGCAAACATGATTCCGTGAGAGTTAATCACAGGTTCGAGCCTGTAAATTGAGCTAGTTTTCTTCACAGGGTGACCTCCTGTAAGATCATTGATCTCATCAGAGAAATGACATCTTTGAAGAAACTTCACCACCTCATACTCAGCAGTTCTGATTTCTTCAACAGTTAGTGGATTCTTTGAAACTCTTTGATCAGATTTCATATTTCTATACCTTATCAATAGGCACTGTTTCAGTCGCAAGATCCAAGCTACAGCTCTCTTTAACTTGTACCATGATGAGTACCGTTCCAGTAACCTGTTAGTACATCCATGTTTGACATCACCTTGAACAAAGTACACTTTGGGTCTCTTTAGTTCCAAATCTCTTTCTGGCAACTCAAATGCTTCTGGAATAGTCGGCCATGCAGATTCATCCAGCCAGAGGAAGTCTGGCCCTTTCATCCATCTTTCTTGCGAAATCATCTCATCTGCATTAAGACCTCGGGATGCGTCATCTCCAGGGTTAAGTTTGGATTCAACATAACGCCAGTCGTCAGCTGTGGATCCTTCATGAATAACAGCTATCCTGTTTGCCACAAATGTATGGAAGCGATGTGAATCACTTTTGATGTAGTGAAGAACAACCATGCTGTCTGACCAGAAGGTAGAACTACTTATCTTGAGTCTCAGTTCCTGACGTAATAATTGATCCAGTTTTACAGAAATGACTGCTGCTGAGAGTTCAAGCCTTGGTATTGTTATTTGTTTCATAGGTGCTAGCCTGGCCTTTCCCATCAATATAGCACAGTGGATTCTGCCATCAGAATTGACAATCCTCAGGTATGACACTGCTCCATATCCTTCCATGGAAGCGTCAGAGAAATGATGTAGATCATATTTCAATAAATCATCAGAGTCAAAGGGAGACACACAACGTGTAATTGTCAACTGTTCAATCCTTGAAAGTTTCTGAATCCATTCAATCCATTTTTCCTCATGACATTTTTCCAGTAGATCATCCCATCCTTTCTTCAGTCTGCACTCACGTTGAAAGATTTTCTTAGCTTGCAGAGTAACTGGGCATATAAATCCAAAAGGATCATAAATTGAACTGATGACACTTAATATACCTCTTCGTGTAGTTGGCTTGTTCTTTGGCATGAACAGGTATCCAAATTTGTCAGATTCAGTGTTCCAGCTAACGCCTAACGCTCGCTCCTGTGGAAGAACATTACTTCCAAGATCAACGTCCTTGACCTCCTTTGCTCTTCTCTCTGCATGGATGGAATCTAGTACTTCCCGGGAGTTGATGATCCACTTGGTAAGTTTGAAACCTCCTCTCTGGAGCAGTTCACACAACTCCTTCACGAGATTAATTGCTTTGGATACAGAGGCTACAGATTTCAAACAATCATCCACATACAGATTTTCCAAGATTGTCCTTATTGTTTCGGGATTAAAATGAGCTCTATGGTCCTCAGCAGTGCGTCTCACGGCAAAACTTGCACAACTTGGACTCCAAACGCCCCCAAACAAATGAACTGTCATTCGGTAGATCTCAGGTTGTCTTGATACATCTCCATCAGGCCACCAAAGAAACCGCAGGGCATTGCGATGCTCTTAGGCAACTCTAACTTGGTGAAACATTGCCTCAATGTCACCCATTATGGCTATCTTTTCCTGACGGAATCGAAGGAGAACACCAATTAATGTGTTGGTTAAGTCTGGTCCTTGAAGAACCTCCTCATTTAGGCTTGTTCCTCCATAACTGGCAGCACAGTCAAAAACTATCCTCAACTTGTCCGGTTTCTTCTCACTGATCATGGCATGGTGAGGGATATACCAAACAGGGCCCTCCTTGGGGTTAGTTTCTTCATGTGGAACCTTTTCAGCATATCCTTTACTGAGAAGCTCCTGTATTCCATCTCTGTATCTCTCATGCAGGCTCTTATTCTTGGATAATTTCCTGCCTAGATATTCAAGTCTGACTTCTGCAACACTGTAGTTGTTGGGCATGCTTGGAAGCTCACTTCTGAAAGGTATTCGCATTTTATAATGTCCCTCTTCAACCTCCAGAGACTCCTGCCAAATATCTATAACACGCTTGTCATTAACAGACATTTGTGGTTTACTATCAAAAATGTGTTCACAAGAGTCCAACTTCCAAAATCTCTCAACTGAAGACTCCAAGCTGTGTTCTGCTTGGAGTGAGTGAGTGAGTTTAGTTTTACGCAGCTTTTAGCAATATTCCAGCAATATCACGGCTGGGGACACCAGAAATGGACTTAACACATTGTGCCCATGTGGGGAATCGAACCCGGGTTTTTGGCGTGACGAGCGAATGCCTTAACCACTAGGCTACCCCACCGCCCCATGTTCTGCTTGGACAAAGTTTGATACTATCCTTCTTTGGCTACCATATTCTAATCGCCCATTCAGTGTCCAGCCAAATACTGTTCTTGTAGCATATGGCTCATTGTCTTTACCTTTCCGCACATCAATTGGTACAAGTGCTGAAGGATTGTCTTGTCCAATCAAAAGAGTTATCCTTCCATGATCCAAGGTCGGCAGAGTTATACCTTGTAAATGAGTCCACTTATCAACATCCGTTTGGCTGGCTAAACTCTCAGTCGGAACAGGTAGTTTGGGAATCACAAACACATGTGGTAGTTGCATTAAATGTCTGCCATCAAGATCTGTCACGTTTAAACTCACTAAATTGGTTTCAGATTCACAGTTTTCATTGGTGAATGTAGTAAGTGAAAGAGACGTTTTTGTTCCTTTCACGTCGAGTTGTTCAATCAATTCTTGTGAACAGAATGTGTTGGTGCTTCCATTATCAAGAAAAGCATACGTTTCAATGAATCCATCCTGACCATTCAACCTTTTGAAACGGGGACAATAGGCAGGGCTGTTCTGGACACACCAGCCCCATTAACACCACCACCGACAGAATTATGCATTGAATGAGTTTGAGTTCCACACTCTTGTGTCAATGTAGACGTCTGTCCATGTGATGAACCAACACCACGTCCACCAGACTTTACCAATGTCTGTAAGCCATCGTGCAGCAATCTGGAGTGCTTGCGATTGCAACCATCAACTTGACACCGACTTGGTTTGTTACAGCTGTAAGACACATGTTGAGTTGAAAAGCAATTAAAACACATCTTATGTTCCCTCACAAAGTCCAGCCTTTTCTGTGGAGTCATTTCTTTGAATTTGTTACACACATATATGGCATGATTTCCCAAACAACACTTACATGCAGGCCATCCTCCAGTCCTGTACTGATTGTTTAGGTTCTTGTAAGAGCTACTACCAGCTGAGATGCCAGTTTCCTTGCTAGCTTGAACGTTAAAGCTGGACACAGCAAACTTTCCAGAGTTAGGCTTTTGGGGTTTTCCTTTTAAGTCCTTTGAAGTTAAGCTATCTGTACCAAAGACCGGATCGGTTGCTTCTTCCGCAGCTGTCTCAATAAATTCTGATAGAGCTTCAATACCAGGGTAATTGCCTTGAACTTTCAAGGTATGAACTGCTTGCTTTCTCCATCTCCCTTGAAGATACGAAGGTAATTTTCCAATTATCTTCCCCATTCTGACTTGATTGTCTATTTCATTCAGTCTACCCATGGCAGTCAAAGTGATAACACAGCTTCCAACAGAGTCTGCATATCTCCTTAATTCTGAACTGTCACCATATCGCAAGCTTGATCCTTCAGTGACCTTTCCGACCCAAGCCTTTGATATTACATATTGGTTGCCAAAACGTTCCAACAATAGTCTTTTAGCTTCAGGATATCCTACATGTGGCTCCATCACAGCACAGCATTCAATAACTCCGAGAGCTTTACCGGTGCAGTACTGGAGAAGACGAGTAAGCTTTGCACTATCACTGACATTAGTGTTCCCAATGCTGTTGTCAAATGAACGAATGAAAATCTTTGATACATCACTGTCAATGGAAACACAGGTGAACAACATCTGTAAGACTTGCTATTTCCATCTTCGCTCCATCAGCAACATCGGTCAATAACTTACAGCTGAAGCCACCCATGCCTTAGTCCGGGCGCTTGTGATTTCAAGGCTCGACTACTGCAACAGCTTGTTGTTTGGGATCAGTCAGAGGCTATTGGATAAGTTACAGAAGGTGCAGAACACGGCCGCACGTATTATCAGTCGCATTCCCAAACATGGCCACATCACACCTGTTCTTAAACAGTTGCACTGGCTCCCCATCAAGGCAAGAAGCGACTACAAAATCCTCTGCTTGACCTACATGGCCCGTCACGGACTTGCTCCCCATATCTCTGACCTGCTTACTCCTTACTCAAACAAGCTGCCTTCGATCATCCAATCAGGAGTTTCTGTTCATGCCAAACTTCAAGCTTAAAACTTTTGGAAACCGGACTTTTTCATATGCAGCCCCAACATTGTGGAATTCACTCCCATACAATCTGAAAGTTTCTGATAGTACTGCCACATTCAAGTCAGGACTCAAAACATACCTGTTTTCAATGTATTATTAGGAACTCTATTTTGGACGTGTACATATTGCTGTATAAATGTGGGAGACTCTTTCAATCTGTCATTGTTGCGCCTTGAGCATATCTGCTGATGTGGAAAAGGCGCATGAAGAAATCTGCATTTTATTTATTAGTAGTAGTAGTATTTCAGAGGATCCCCATCAAACTTCATAAGCTCTGTTTTGGGAAGCTGAATAACATTCAACATCTGGTGTTGCATGTAGAGCATTTTATCATCAGTTGTCATATTGTCACCTGTCACTTCACACGGGCCATCCATGATGCCATGTTGACCCTGTTTCTTTACCTGCTGTTCCTGTTTATTATGTTGTGACAGGGTTGGATTAGCACCCCTATCTGGTAGATTAGACTTCCGGTGTGGCTACGCCTTTGCCAAAGGATCTAAACGCTTATCCTTCTTTGCCAGAACCTTTCCCTGTATCAAGCCATCACGAGTTAAGCCTGTATCATGTAATACATCAGTGTTATCCATTTTCTGTGAGACATGACTTCTCATTTCTTCATAAACTTGTTCTTCTGCTTCAGCAGCTGCTATGTCTGTCTCTGTTTGAAGAGTTTCGTGTAATTGTTCCAACTCCAGCTGTTTGAGCTTCAGTTCATGTTGTTTCTGTAATGCTACTGATCGCACACGCAAAGCAGCTTTCTTTGCAGCAGCCTTCGACCTTGAACTTACAGAAGTATGACTTCCACACACCTGACTTGCAGAATCTTCTGGGCGCACTTCCTCTATATCATTTCCTGGATTACTTTGTGAAGTTAGCCTCCACACCTTAATGTCAGTCATTAACTGTTCATACCTATCTCTCACCTGAATGTAATATGTCTCGGCTTGACTATATTCAGCAGGGTCATTCATAACAAGATCTTTCAATTGCATAGTTTTCTGTACAAGCTTGGCCGTTATTCCTTCAATGTTGTCCTTTTCATTGTCTACTAAGTCAACCAAAACCACAGTGGGCTTTTCACGAAGTTTGTCCCTCAGGTAATTTTCCGACTTAGTAAATGAAGACATTATTCCTCCCCTTTGTCTTCTTCATTGTGTAATTGTTTCTGCAATCACACGACCTTCATCAATGTCAACGCTAACGTTTTCCATTCTGGCACGAGTATTAGTAAACTCTTCGATATCACTTTGGCTGTCAAACATCCTGATTCAAATGTTTATAAATCCTTGAAATTTTTTTGAACTTTATTGCAGAGGTTAAAACTTAGTCGGGCCTTTATCTTCAACACGCACGTTTATTGGATTATTGTCCGCAGACTCTTTACAAGACGCCGCAGCGTAGGTAGAATTGAACTTGATACGGTTCAAACTGTAGTATTAATAAAACAAACAATTATTAAAATACAGCTGAACAATTTCCAATGCTAAATCAATATCTTGACTACTCAGATAAATGCAATGTATCTGTAAATATAACAAAAATATGAAACACGAACCCACGTGCCTGACATGACAAAACTGAAATTATTCTAAACTCATATAAATTCATCAAACTTAACACGCTTTGTGACCCTATCAACAATGTTCATCAATATAAATAATAATCATCAACTACTTACAAATTTTCTTGGCCTTGCCCCCTCTTCAAAATGAATCACCGCGAGTGACACCAGCTATGTGCTTTAGTCGACCTCAAGTCGCCGGATCAAACTACCGTCCGGGACCACTTAAAATCCGGATCCTTACGGCGGCAACAAAAACAAAGCCCAGATCAGTTTACCGGTAAAAACCAAATTAATTTTTATCCTTAACAGTGGCTTTGGCCTTGTTTCGAGCATTTAGCTCTGAGCTCCAAATTTTCTTTTCGCGAGTTTTATACTCGGACAAAAGTTTATCTTGAATCTGGGCATTCTGGAGCTTGTCTCGAACTTGCATTTCAAGATAGGTGTAGGCCTGATCTTCCACAAGATGCCCAATAACTCCTCCCCCCTGTAACTTGACTGATCCATCATTAGTTGCCTTGCCATGTTTCAAATGAAGAGTATTACATTTGTCAAGTCCAAATGTCATGCCAATATCATTAGAAATAGGACTCGACAAGAACTTGTTCTTTCAAATTGGTATCTCCTTTGGCAAGGAGCTCGATGTCATCCATGAAAAGGAGACGAGTGAGCAGTGTTGGGAATATATGCTGAGGATCTCCGGGATGGTAGCCCTCCTCTTTATGGAGCAAAAAGTTCAAAATACTTAAAGAGAGCAAAAAAGCAAAGGGCTGAAGGAGTCCCCCTGGAATATTCCGCTTCTGATTGCCATTGAGAGTACATCTCAAGTTGAGTCGACCAGCCGCTCATTAAAGACTTGAGTAAATCAAGTAGTCGCTCAGGGAGGTCAATACATTGAAGAGACTTCAGAATCCATTCATGACTGACTGACTGAGTTTGGTTTTCCGCTGCTTTTAGCAATATTCCAGCAACATCAGGGCGGGGGACACCAGAAATGGGCTTCACGCATTATACCCATGTGGGGATTCGAACCCGGGTCTTCGGCGTGACGAGCCAACGCTTTAACCATTAGGCTACCCCACCGCCCCAAATCCATTCATGAGGGACAGAGTCATATGCTTTTTGTAGTGAATCCATACATGGAGAGGTTGCGGTGATATCTTTTAACCTCTTACAAAATCATTTTTTGTACAAGAAGTTGATCCTTGCACCCCCAACATCCCTTTCTTGCCCCCTTCTGCTCTCTATAAATTATGTCATTAGAAGAGCAGTAAGATGACACGAGGTTTGTCAAACACCCTGTGAATATTTTATATTTAGTATTCAATCATAGGGCGGAATGGTTTCAAATACCAGTTTCGAATGTCATCAGGCCTTGGAGCTGTATCAGATTTGGACTTGTTGATAACTCTTTTCAGGCAATCTGCTGAGATGTAACAGACAAATGACCAAGTTTTTTTACATGCATTGTGTTATCGTAATCACGGACCCATGGTGCCTCAAGGTAACAGTGGCTGAGTACAGACCACAACTGTTTCCAGAACCTATTATTGGCATCCATGGGAGGCTGTTTATCATGCTCACCATCACCCTTTGTTTTGAGTTGCTTTTAAAAGTGCTTTTCATTAGTTCTAAAGAGTTTATTCTTTTCACACTTTTTCTTTCTTTAAGTTTGCGTTAAGGGAATTGACAGTTTGAAGAAGTATCTTTTCTTTCAGTTGTCTTATACTGTAATTTTATTTTTCTTCAAATTGACTTTTGTCGTTTAGATATAGGGTTCCCTATTAATTAACTTCATGTAATGAACAGTCCCCAGAAAGTTTCAAAGAAATAGCTTCATTTAATAAATCAATTTTATGGTTTGGAAAAGTCATGTTTAGTTGTTTAATTGGCCTCCATTTTCCAAGGTAAATCGCAAATTTCCTCATAAATAGAGTTAAATAAAACATCTGCAACTGAGGAAGAAGAAGAATGAAGAGCAGAAATTTCGGGGCCAATTGACTATATGCCGGAAAAGTTTGTTTCAGAAAGAGCAAAGAGGTTCACGTGGACGTCCGTTTTTGGTCTGCTGCCACTTGAGCTTTCTGCTCATGCAAGGTTAAGTTGGACGGGCACCAGTTGTGGCTTCAACTGGCTAATGGCATCAGATCTTTTAAGTCAGCGGAATTGGTCTCGAAGATTTTGCTCCGTCAGGTAAGCATACATTGGCATGGCATTGTCCCAATTGATTTCTGGATTTTCAGGCCATCCTGTCGCTATCGCACTCTCAAGTATTGTGGTTTTAAGATGGTTCTGTGCCTTCCCTTGAGGCAAGTTCCATCTCCAGTAAGGTTGGTTTGACTACGGGAGGAAGGCTGACTGGGCTGTGGAGTTGAAAGATGGTATTCTTCTTGGCGTTTGG